GGATCTGGGGGTCGATTCCCTGAACATTTTTAACGAAGTAGGTGCAATTTCCTGCATTTTGGTGTATTTTAACAGGTTGTTAAACATCTAAATTTACCTACATTTGTAAACACTCCTCTTCTGTCAGCCCCCCACTCCCCCTTTACTTGACGGTTTTGTCGGGCTTGATTTCAAGCCTGACTCTGTCCCTGCTTCTTGTTGTCCGACTCCACATGTAAACCTCCAGCTGTCTGCCCTGCTGCTGTCTGTGGGCTCTGTCACTGCACAATCTGTTCCTTAAGCACGATTCGTACCGTCAGCTCATTTGCGCATGCGCTAAAATAAATACTTCTGGGAGGGCTTCAGACATTGTAGATCACAAAATGGATGGATTTTCAGTTTTTCTACTATTTTTGCCTGCAATTTTCCCTGGAAAATAAAACTTTTGCAGATGTGGATAGCAAAGTATGCCATGATGATAGATTTCTTCAATAAATCTCATAAAATATGACTATTATTAAAATAAAGGTCTTCTGTTGTCAGTAATGGTTCCACCAGAGGGCGCATTGACAGGTAAATGTGTTACAGTCCAATCAACCAGATTTTACTACTGAATTATAATTTTGTAAGTAAATGAAGACGGCTCTTATTTATAAACAGAATTATAACATTGTCTAGGAAAATCAATCAATGTATATAAATAGATATTTTAATTAATATTAATAAACATGGTATGTTTCATAAATATATTTCATTAATATCAAAATGTGTATAATATATGTGTTGTATTAAATCAGCTTACAGGATATAATTTAGCACACCTTTATAATTAAGGCTGGAAGTAATTATTTCCAGTACATTTTCCTAAATCTAGCATATTCAAAAGTATTTATTTTAGTGCATGTGCAAATGAGCTGACGGTACGGATTGTGCAGTGACGGGCTCCTGCCCACGTACAACTTCCTGCTTAGCGCGTCACTCTTTTCGGGGCGGATATTTATTTAAGGGTAGACGTGGAAGTGCTTCACTTGAAGAGGCAGATTGTCTTCTGTTGTGCTTAAAATGTGTGTTTATGTCATTATGTTCAGTTTATATATCCAATATAAGTTTAATTTATTCAAGGCAGTCATATTTGTTCATAACTTTATTATTAGTAAGCCTGAGAATTACCGGATCCGAGCAAACAGTACTGGAAGCATCCTGTCAAAATAAGAGAGTTTCCAGATTATTTTCTGGCAGGATCCGGCTCAAATTAAGCCCTGCTTGTACTCCATTGAATTTTGCAAAGTTTGAGTTGTTTAATACAACTGACATCCACTCTAGAATAGGACCAAGTCTGATTTGCAATTAGCTCAACTTCTCAATAACAATTATGCCACAGTTTTCCAAAATAAAATGATGTTGACTTCTCTTTGGCTGCAGGCAAGATATTTCTGATAGCAACTCTACATAAACTCACTTAAGAAGACCTAAACTATTCATTATTAACTTAAATATGTCTGTTATAACATAATCAGGTTATACCAACACATTTTTTCTGGACAGAAATGTTTTTGTTTATAGCAAAAGGACATTACCCACATCTGCTAAATTTAATCATTTTGTATGCAACATAGTTACAATAAAAATAAAAATACTGATTGTTTGCATGACTTTTTTTTTTTATCTTTGTACATCACATATGACTTTTGTCTGACAAAACGTATCTGATTTTGACGACAGCTTGAGTTATCTCATCTGCTTTGCCTCTTTGAGGGTCATAAACTGTTTATCTATTATAGCTGTGTCAGCTAGTGCCAATATAAACGAGGAGAACAATGTGCAAAAAACAGGACACCGTTGATTTTCTTTTGCATTTTGGTGGGGGATAACAGTACTCTGCTGCTGCTCACATTGCCTAGTCCATTACCAAGAGATCAATAGCACTTGAGTTGAATGTCATTATGGTTATTAGGCCTGCTTGTCCGCTTGGTCATGAGAAATGAGAGCATTATGCAGGGGAGCGTCCTTATGTGTGAGTGAGTTCATGAGTGTAATCATAAGTATCTGCTTGTGTTTCCACTGGTGCTGTAATGTTTATTATCCTTGAGTGGTGTCTCTGCAAGCTACCAAAAACCAGAAAAATACGAATGGAGGATGTTAGTGTTTCAACACAATCCAGTTGGAATCACTTTTAATATAAAATGTAAATGCAAGAAAAAAATTAACGAAAACCTGAAATGTACTAGAAAAAAAAAGGCATGCAAATGATGAATACGCATACCATGCATATGAACAAAAAGAATGAATGCATGAATGATGCATATGAAAATAAGAAAAATGTAAAGATGTATGAATGCAACCCTGTCATCTGGTCCATCTGGATTCTTGAAAATACTTGTCAGCTTTTCAAATTTTGTCCAGTCTATAAATTGTATGAGTTTATACCATATTTGTATGTGTAATATGTCATATTTATTATATTTATATAATAGCTTTATAAAGGAATACGTAAATAGTAAGGTTGAGGAAAACATAAAGTCCCAAGCAGGACATAAAAAGATGCAAATGGCTGGCAGCCAACCAAATAAAATGAGACAGAAGAAGCTAAGAGATAAGATAAAAGTGATGCAGAGTACATGGAGAGGTGGGCTCAAATGTTGATATGATAGAACAAAAAACAAGAAAAAGTTACAAGGAGAACATAAAAATTAAGAGACTGTTAGAGGTGGAGTATGTAAATAAAGGAGTAAGGTGTGAAACTTCAAGAAAGGACAGCCTGAGCTGTATAAGATAAATGTTTTACTTCGGGTTTTATTTTTTCTCTTTTTTTTTTAATTCAAACTTGTTAATTAATGCTCTTATCTGGTAGAGTATTACCATAGTACATACAGTATGCATAACACAGGTTGTTCTGGGTATTTTACGCAAGCATCTCTTCTACATTATTAAAGTACTAAAGAACAGCTTATTTCACTTAGATGAAATTGTTGATTTAGTACCACATTTCTCATGTTCTTCTTACTATACTCTTCATATAAAGCCTTTGGGCACCAGTATCATCATCAAAGACAACATCAAAGTGAAACTGTATGGTTTTCCCTCAGATGCAAATAGCTTTTTATGTAAATAAAGTTACACAGACTCACTTAAAGTGAATTGACAGAAAGACAGATCAAAGAAAATGTCAGTTTTTGCCACTAACGTGCATGCAACCACTCGTTTTATTAAAAAAAGAACATGGAGTGCAAGCATGCAGGTAACCAAGACGAACAGAGTAAATGAGAAAACTAGTATTAAGTATGAAATTACAAAAATGAAGAAAAGAAAGTGGGAACTAAAGCTGCAGTTAGATTAAATATGGAATGGAGGAACAAACAGTGTCAGGTTAATGGTAATGGGGGCAGGAATCTTGTCCTATTAAATATAGATGGCTCTGTTATGTGACATGAAATATACATGAAACACTGAGTTGACATCTATATCAGCTGTGTTGAGGTATGTCTGGAGACGTGGAGAGAAGGAAGGTAGCTGAAGTGAAAAACAAGAAAATGTTGAGTATTGTGGAAAGAGAAGGAAACAAGGAAGGAAGGGGACAAACAGACAAAGAGAGAAACAAAGACATCTGGGCAAAACAAGGGCTGTAAAAGATCCCATTTGATATTTGATCCCGATCCAGTGGGAGCCACCCCACACCCGTCCGTGCCTTTTTTTTTTTTTTTGTTCATACGCACAAGTTTATTTTCTAGACCTGTAGATCAATATTTCATAGTTTGCACTTGTGTTGTTGATCCTGTCTGAGTGTGTGTGAGTGTTAATCCAAGGTCTTCACTTCTTACGGTTACGACAAGACCCTTGAGACGTATCAACAGAGCGGGGCTACAAACCCCAGTGTCTTAACTAAATCTCCCATTAGGATCACATAAATCCATTCACCCTGGAGGTCACACTCCAACTTTTCTGACAAAGCACTGTTGGCATCAATAACAAGCTAGTTGATACCAGGGTCAAGACAACAAAGAAGACACTCTGTATGAAGGAGAATATGAACACTTTACTTACTATAACAGGGAAAACGTCTCAATACTTTTTATGAACTCTAGTAAATAATTAGCAT